TTTTAACATTTTTATCAGGTTGTACCTTTCCTTCCATGGCCCTTGCTGTCTTCAGAGAAAAATCCCCAGGCTCCCTAGGACATGTCCCTCTGCTCCTCTTTGACTGGATTTTCTACTAATCTCCTGTCTCTCCTCTGGGAATTGGATTATTTGCTCTTCCTTCAGGGCTTTATACTTGTTCCAACTACAGGACCTTTACACTTGCTGCTTCCTCTGCCTGAGATCTTCTTCCTACAAATAGGCACATGACTCTGTCTCTTATGTCCTTCAGATTTCTAGTCAAATGTTAACTAATTAGAGAGACCTGCCCTGACCACCCTATGTAAAATCGTCCTTGCCCCATTCCTGTCCTCCCAACATGCCTGTTCTGCTTACACTGTTTATTTTTCTTTATAACACTCCTTGCTGTGTGCCATCTTGTATATTTGCTTGTACCCTTGTTATCGTCTATCTTCCTTCCACTAAACTGAAAGCTCAGTGAGGGAAGGGGTTTTGTTTAGTTTTACTAGCTGTTTACAGGCTGTTTTACTAGCACTATAGCCATTCCCAACAAATAGTATGCACTCAATGTATTGAGAGGTTTCAGAAATAAACAGTTGATCTCCTCCTCCAAGGGCAGATATTAATTATTCTGAGAGAAAAATCCATTAAGCCATAAGTGTCAACACCTCAGTGTAATTTATGCCCAATTACAGCTAAAAAAACTTGAGGGAAAGAAGACAGGTGGGAATCAGGACACCTGGGATCTAGTTCTGGAACTGTCCTTAGCCCACTGTGTGACTCTAAGTGTCCATTTTTGGGTTTAGATTTCATCACCTATAAAATGATGCTGTTGAACTAGATTAGGGGTTCTTGGCCTGCCATCTAAGGACTCCTCATCAGCCTACAATGGGCTTCAGGGGACAAGTGCATCTCCTATTGGTGTATGCAAAATTTTGAGGCTATGGCACATGTGTACATTTCTTTTCCAGATGACAGGAAGGTTTGTGACCCTGAAATGGAGCAGAAGTCCTTGAAGTCTGTTTTAGTCCTAACTTTATATGATTCTAAGTTTTGAAAAGAGGATGACAGAAGACAGCCTGATGCCACTGTACAGTTGGAAGGCATTCTCAGTTCTGCCATATCCTGAGAAAGTTCTCTCTCTCACTTGGGTTTATATCACTTGTAAAATGAGGGCATTAGACTAGATGACCCAAAATAATACTTGTAATCCTATATTCAACTCAAACCAAACCAAAGCCAAGACACAAACAAAATGTGGTAGTAACCCTTGGGAAGTCAGATTGGTCCCTGTTGGGTCCTCAGGAGTCAGAATTCCAGACCTGTGGTGGTTCCTGTGTTACACCAGCTCAATGACCTTCTGAAAAATGGAAAGTTGAGTCTTAGGGATGATTGGAAATGGAGAAGAAAAAGCTTCACTGCTCTCCCCAAAGAGAATTGGGGGCTGATTCCCTAAAGTTTAATCTCATAAATCCTGAAATAAATAATGGAAAAGATCTCTTTATAGTGTTGGAGAATTTTCTTTTGATGGGTTAAAGAGGTGTATACAGTCCCTTGTTAGTCTACTTTTCTTATTAGAATCCAGATAACATTTTGTTACTGAGGAAATACATTTGTCACATGTATAATTTTGATTTGTTCCACTCTTCTCTCAGCTCTCTCCCCCTGGCCTCATGCCCTTGCTAGTAGTGCCTATTATTTCTTAAAAAAAATTTCTTTTAAGTATTACATATGTCTCTTTTTCCCCCCATTGACCTCCCCCTATTCACCCTAAGCCCCCAGCACATGCCTTCACTCCCCTAGTGTCTGGGTCTATTGGTTATGCTTATATGCATGCATATAAGTCCTTTGGTTGATCTTTTACCAACCCTCCCCTGCCACCTTCCCACTGAAGTTTGACAGTCTTTTAATGCTTCTTTGTCTCTATCTATTTTGTTCATCAGTTTATGTTGTTCATTATATTCCACAAATGAGTGAGATCATGTGATATTTACCTTTCTCTTACTGGCATATTTCACTTAGCATAATGCTCTCCAGGTCCATCCATGCTGTTGCAAATGGTAAGAATTCCTCTTTTTTTACAGCAGCATAGTGTTCTATTGTGTAGATGTACCAGTTTTCTAATCCACTCATCTGCTGATGGGCACTTAAGCTGTTTCTAAATTTTAGGTATTGTAAATTGTGCTGCTATGAACATAGGGGTGCGTATAACCTTTCTGATTGGTGTTTCTGTTATTTCTTTTTTTATATGTGTCCCGTTTGCTCTGGAAAATAGATTTGTGACTGGGTTTGGAAGAACACACACAGCACTTAGAGGATGTCGATTGAAGCCTCTCCTTGCCCAGATACAATGTGGTCCTGGGGACAACAGTATGGAAGGTGGAAGGTTGATACCAGCATTTCCCTCCTTCTTTCATTCAGTACCGACTGCCTGCCAAACCCTATGCTGAACACTTAAAGCCAAAGGAGACAGGTCCCTGCTCTACATCTCAGAGTCACCACAAAACAAAGCTGGATTTGCATTGGAATCCACTGATTCCAGGATTTTGCTCCTCCCTCCCCATAAGTGGGGAGGCTGCGTCCTATGATAAGGGGAGTGTCTTTGGCCAGCAGACAGTTGTCTACATTACTCCTGCAGGGCAATGGGCCTGAATGCGGTATTTTCTTTTTTCAGGGGCCTGGCCCAAACTCTGCTGTGCCTCCAGGGCCCATTAGGCTGCAGGTCACAGTAGCTGGAGCCCAGGCGCCCAGAGCCAGTCACGGGTCTGTGCTGCCTGCTCCCTGAGTCACAATGGAGTCATTGACTATTTATTTACTCAGCACAACAAGGCCGCTGTTGACTTAATTACTGGAGCCTCCCTGCCACCCTTGGGATCTTTAAATGACTAAGGGACTTTCTATTGCCACTAACTCACCCCTCCTTAACCTCTGTAAGTCCCCAGTCTCCCTCACATGGGAGGGCTCAGTTGGCATGTAGGGGGCACGGAGAGCCAGTAGTCCTGGTGGAGAGGGCAGAGACTGGTGGTTTTCCTTGGGAGCTGGGTAGGGGTTGGCAGGGCTGACTGAGTCTCTGTGTTTCAGGGCTGGGCTGAGGCAGGCACTAGCCCTGGAATGTGGAGGGTGGCAATGATGTGCCAGGTTCTGGCGAGGGCTGAACTCTATGAGAAGCAACCAAAGGACAAAGGCTTGTCTCCAGTCACAAGGACAGCTGGTCTTTGGAGACACAGTTTTTCACTTAAGGCCGTTAGAATTAGAGATTGGAAGTCAAGACTGGCGCCTTATGCAGCCCGTTTGAAAATTACCCCCCTTCCTGCTTCTGCTCAGTCTCACTTAAACCTCCTCTCTAATTGCTGCTCCATAACTTCCTCTGGGGGCAACTTGTAAAATCTCTGCTCTAGTTAATATTGTAGGGACGAAGATAAAACAGCAACAGTATTGAATGGCTGTTGGCTTTTCTGACCCGGAGGAGCGGAAATGGGACATTGTTTGCAAAATGGACACAGAAAACGGGGGTGAGGGCATGAGTGCGGAGGGGGCAATGGGGGATAAGGAGACATATGTAATACCTTCATCAATAAAGAAAAAAAATAAAAATAAACAGTGGAAGTAAGAAAAAAAAAGCTGATGTTCTTCCTGAGACGCTGGGGTAGCCAGGTGTGCAAGCCGCCAGCGGCCCCTCCCTCCCTGGAAGCAGAGTTGCGGCAAGATTCAGGGAGGTTGGTACCCCTCCCTCTTCGGGACTTTTAAACAGTCCTTTAGAGTATTTAGACCTGAGGCCAGCCAGGCCTGAACTGCTCCCCGGATTTCTTTCTCCAGCCTTTGAACTGCGACCTCCAGTGCGGCGGCGACTATCTGGTCTCAAACCAAACTTCTTTCTGTACTTTGTTTGGGTAGGGAGTTCAGGGACGTGGGGGGAAGGAGGAGTCTACCATTAAGGCGCTAGGCGGGCACCAAGACTGCCTGCCCATCCTCGGACCCTGGGAGAAGTCCCTTTGGGTAAAGGAGTCAGAGGGAGGCGCCTAAGGGGACGGGGAATGCGAGGGGAGTTTGCAAAGGGGTGGGGGTGCAGGTGAGGCGCAGGTCAAGATCTCTCTGGTGGACCTCAAAGGGAAATGGCAGTACTTGGACCAAAAGGGCCACTTTAGAGACTACAACCTGCTCCCCAAATGCAGGCAGCAGAGAAGTTTCGTTGTTATGGTTTCAGAGAGGTTTACAAGTCACCACCCAGAACCCAAGGAGCTGGGTCTCCTTATGCATGTCACCACCCAGGCCCAGGCAAATTCCCTGGCGATTCGCATCGCTCCCTGACCCAGCATCTTGTTCCCGGTCCTCCCATCCCAGACCCAGCTGGGGTGTGCGCTGGTTGCGGGGATTCCTAACGTCTAAGTCTGGGGGCGCCCAGATTTCTCGCACTTTCGCTCCCGCTGTCCACTGCGCTGCGCTGGCACCCTCTCGGCCGCGGTGGTCCGGAACGTGCAGGAGCTGCGGGGGGAGGAGAGGGGGGAAAGGAGCGCGGCGCCTTTAAAGCAGGAGGCGCGGAACCCCCGCCAGGAGGCGTGTCTGTCTCAGCAGCCGCCGCAGCTTTACGGTCTCCGTCTCCGCCGTCACTCGCGCTCGCTCGGCGCCCGCGGCTGCGCTCCTCCGTCCGCGAGCCTGGGACTTCCCGCCGGACCTCCTCGGGCTGCTCCTCCCCAAGGACCACCCCTCCCCCCCCCCGCCCACCTCCCCCGCAGCGAAAGGTAAGGACTCCCTCCGGGTGGGCTCCGACCTGGGCTGCCTTCCAAAGAGTGCGTTCCTGTTCCCACCAGGACAGGAGGGAGCAGGGGCGGGCGAGCGGGGCTCTCCGCCTGGAGAGGAAGAAAGCGAGGAGCGGCGCGGCGGAGCCCACGCGCTTGGGGCACCCGCCAGATCGGTGCCCTGGAAGTGGCTTTGTCCCGCTCGCGGCAGCCAGTTCCCATCAAGGATGCCACGGGCTCGGCTGGCCGCGGACGCTCCGGCTCTCCGCGCAGAATAATTTCTTGAGCGGACGCGTTGGGAAGTGGCCTCCGCCACGGGACTCGCGCGAGGCGAAGAGACACAGATGGCCAGAAGCTGTGTGTCTGCCTGCGGGTCTGAAGAGCTCCCCAGCCTTCCTTCCCTTCTCCCATTCTCCCAATGACCAGGCTCCCTAGTTCTACCCCGAAAAGCAGACATCCCTTTCAACCGCGGCCACTATTGCGAGCTTCTGAGACACTCGGAGGGCGTCCCGTTAGGGTAAGGGGAGTAGTGTCACCAGGGTGGATGGCCAACCTCAAGAACTTTTAAGGACACTCTCTCAGCCCCTGGAATTTTTACCTTCCGGGAGTTCTTTACCAAACAACAGGACCCAACTGTGGTCCTTAGAATGATTTCCAACTTAGGGAATACTAGGGGATGTTAGAAAACTTCTCACTACTCTACTTGTGGTAACAAACAGATTGCCTTCTGTCGTTTCTTCATCTTCATACTGTAAGTATTCTCTCAACAGAAGTTACCTTGCAGGTTAATTATTCTTTTCCTTTCACAAGAGAAGATTGATTCATTTGAATCTTAGGCTTAGTATACTGGAAGATATTTCAGTCTTGACTTGTCTAAGTTTATTACCTTATAACTTTTTTTTATAGGAATCATTTTTGTCACCACCAGGGCAGCTTCTAGAGGCCTCAGGAACTTCTTAATTAAACAAAAAAAACAAAACAAAGCCAAAAGAACCCGAGAGGTACCAAAGGAAGGTGATAGAGAATAAGTGGTGCCTAGAAATCTTACCTGTTTGTTTTCTTCTATTTAAACCCATTGGAGATTGCACAAGCTGAAATGAAAAGAAAAAGGTTCCAGGGCCTGTAAATCTATTCCAATTTAGTTTCTTAATTAAGATATACTTCTCTTTGGCATCAAAAATTTAATTAAAACTCTAAATGCTATTAATCATCAATGCAGCAGAATGTTGGTAGAACAGCTGATGTGTTGAGAATCACAAGGGGTTGCATAGCATAGCTTTCATAGTTAAGAAGAGGGAAGCACAAGTATGCAACAGTATGGTTTTAACTGGCATCAGCTCCGACTTTATTCTTTGGCACCTCTAACATCATGGATGAACAGGCTGTTTATTTTAGCTTAGCTGCAATACAGCAGGCCACATGCAGGGAAGACTAGGTCAAGTGTTACTATAAGATGAGGTTTCTTATATGTCACATAATAAGCAGGACAAGTTAAGTGGAATTCCTACAAAGAATTCCATGTGAAAAATTTAAATATAGATATGGTGTGGAAGAACCTCTGAAACATCTTTGAAATTCAGATTGTCCTGGGATTATGTATGTGCTGTTTCTTGCAGAAGGTATCTAAACATTGTGCTGTGAGGATTATCACACAGTTGTTCATACCCCAGCAGGTGGCAGCTAACTAGGATACGATTCATTTTCACTGGGAGAATAGAAAAATAAAATTGATTCTCAAGTAATAGTGCCCCCAAATAAGAGGTCACTAGTGTCAGTAAATATAAACATACAGCGAAAGATGAAGCTAAGGGCTTTTTGTTGTTGTCGAAACAAGCTTTGCATGAACATGATATGCATTTTGTTCCCTGGTAATTTATCACAGGCTCGATACCTCTTCATGTCAGCAGTCTGCATTTTTTTGAGCCTTACTTTTAGACACAGCTCCTCTCTGTGTGTACATATATGTGTGCATTTGCCGTTTGTCATCTCTGCTTTGACCTTGGAACCTACAGAGCTTTGGCTCCTAGAATAAAGGTTGCCATATGGTTAAGTGAGAAAAAATACAATCATGGGATAAAGTGCATAAATTTCACTATTACAAAATGTATAGGATCTCCTGACACCAAATAGTGTTTTTTTGTTTTGTTTTTTGTGTTTTTGAACAAATTATAAAACTGACACAGTTTTAAAAAGATTTAAATCTGGTCAGTGAATACTATATAATGATTTTGTCCATCCTTCATATAGCCCCAGAACTATGATGTATATTATAACTATTGGGGAGAAACTTGTAATTATTTAAAAATTGCCTTACCATAGGCATCTTTTACACCAAATCATTCTGTTCTAGTATTCGGAAGGTAATTTTAGGGTTTTTGTTGTTGTTCCTTTCGCCCTGGGAGTGACATTTAGTGAGAAAAAATGAGAATTAATCTGATTACCCTCATAACAGATGGAAATCTGCAGGTGAAGAATTCTAAAGCAATAATTAAGTGCATATTTTAGAAATGTCTTTAGCCACTGGACATCGACAGCATGTTATTCAGTATTCTGAATTCTTGGTGGTCTTTCAGGATTTTTTTTTGTACTGTGAAATAAGTAGTTTAGTGTTCATGAGGGAACTCAGTTATTGTAAATGGCTTTTGTAGTAGTATGCTCTGTAAAGGGATGGCTATTGGCACATCCTGGGTATGCCAAGCAATCCCAGTAAGTCACACTGACATATACACACAACACAGTTGATAAAAAACCCTTTTGACGATGCGAACAATGCAATAATTCAAATTCACAGACTCTGTGTAGTAGAAATATGCACATTGCTACTTCAAATGGTACATTACCCATTCAATGTACCACTTTCAATGTACTACTCCAGAATAGAATAAATCTATGTCTGGAGCGCTGTCCGCGGTCCTGAAGAAAGGTTGTCTCCTGCCTTGCAGTTCAATTGGACAGGTGGAGTTGTGTGTGGTGTTGAAACCTTTCAGATTCATTGATGGATGTAAATGAATCTAATTTAGCATATGTGAAAAATTGGTTCTTTGGGGACCAATTAATAGTAAAGAAATTATGATAGACTTTTAACTGTTTAATTTACTGTGTAAGAACTTCATGAGTTTGGAAGCTTGATCTTTCACTTTTCCAACTAGACATCTAATAAATAATTCCACAAAACTACATAATTTAGAATGCTAGTTTTAAGCAGAGAAGTTACAACTGCAATGTCAAATGCCATTATGTTAGCAGAATACACGAAAAAGAAGTGCCATAGTACATTTGTTTTCTCAGGTTTCATTAAATGCCAACTACACTGCAGAATTGCAGTATTTTGATTAGTCACAGCATTCTATTTTCAGCTATTAGGTATAAATTATATTGAAAGATAAAAAAATAAAAATATTTATTGTTTCCCTCACAGTCATTATTATCTCTGCCGGAATCAAAAAGAGAAAAGAATGAAAAGAATGGAATAAATGAGACAGCAAATACAAGACAGAACATGTTGGGCTGTACATGCCTACAAGAGACATTTTAAACATGGACTGAAGGAGTCGCTAGATACCCTTAGTTTTAGCACAAGGTGTTCCTTTTAAAGTGCTCAGATAGTCAAATTTTTTGATTGAACTGCCTGCTACACTGCAGAACTAGCCATTCATGATACTTATTTTTGACACTGCAGTTATGCCTCCATCTTAAAAATAAAATCAATGCCCACTTAATGCCTTTGCAAAATTAGGTTTATTTTCAAATAAGCATTTTATAGTGTCATAAGAAAAAAAATATTGAAGGAATTATGGTGGAATGAAAACATTTCATTGTTTTCTTCCTTTCTGGAGGAAAGATTACTTATATCACAATTTAAAATTAGATATTCTTCAAATAGGGCATTTTATATTTTTTCATAAGGTTTAACCTAATGCCCTGTTAGTTGGTATGAAAAAGAGGTTAATTTTAAGATACAGGCTTAGCAGTTTGCCTCTTTTGCTTCTTGATCACTTAATAATAATAACATATATATAGCAATATGTTTATTACTACCCATCTTGCTTTCACTTACTAATGTAAAATATCAGGATTAGACATTTTTATCTGTATATGCATGGAAGAGAGCATATTAACTATTTTAACAGTAAAATGTATTTCAATAGAAAATATATTTCTCTGTACTTTTTTTCCTTGACTAAATTGCCACTTATGAAAGCCAAGACAGTCACTGCCTGGGAACTCTTAATTATTCTGACCAGAATACTAGAAAACAATAAGGCATTTTTACACAAAGCTGTAACAATGTTGCTCAAGTCATAATCTCACATTCCACCTTTTAAATAAAATATTCCATTCCAAAAATCCTAAGAAGAAGTTTGAGAAAAAATTACTGAAGACTTTGGAGTTGGCTGCACCAATTTACATGGTCTTTTTTACATATGCACAGTTATTTTAGATGAGCTAAAAATGGGTGGGAAAATATTATTATTTCATTTTAATCCAACATTTTCCCCCCTCAAAGGCCACTTGAGGAACCCTACTTTTATTCCTGGGTAGTAATCAAGGAATGTCCCACTCAAGTTTTAAATGATTATCTTCACTTCTCCAACTGCACTCCAATCTCTGTTCATTCCTGGACAAAATTTTAAAAGTATAGCTAAGACCCTCTTTTTAACCTAAACACAAATTACATTTGCAATAAATTCCTTTGTCTGACATCACTTCCTTTTTTACAACTCCTAGGCAAAGTGACTTTGACTTAGCTTGTCCTGTCGTTTATTACAATTCATCAATTGATTGTAAGAAGTCCGCGTGCATATACTAGTCACTCTCTTGGCAAAGAGTCTTAGTGAAAAGAAAAACACTTTCCCCACGTAAATAAATCCGACTTCATTCTTCTAACTGAAGGCAGCTGATCACATCGGTTGCATAATAGATATTGGGAAGCTCACTGGCAGGGAGCCTTAAGAGGCTAGCAGCTATCTCAATTTTTCTCACTTAATCTTGGCTTCACGTCAGAAGCTGTGCAGCAGTGCAGTAGAATAGGGCCTGGCAAAATCTTTGAGAGCAAAGCGCCTTTTGTGCGGGGGACTGTAGCTCGCTACCGACGCCCCGGCCGTTTCCAAGGCTGGATTTCCTATTGATTTTTCTCCTCCTTTGCTTCTCCAGGCTCGCGCAGCCGGACATTGTGGGTGTGCGTGCTGGATTTCTCTCGGGTGCTCCCGGACTAACATGGATGTCCCACCATCCCTTGCAGTGGAAGGTTGCTTCTTGGCGCAGTGAGTGAAGAACATGCAGCGATTGCTAATGGGTTTGGGAAGCGGAGACTCCTTCCTCTCTCTGTGACCATGCCTTGATCGTGCCTGCGGCCACCACTCGACACAGCCTCATTCCTACCCGAACCGGGAGCCTAACGCTAGATCCGGGAAGTGGGTGCCCCGCGTGTGGACACAGAAACACCATGAAGATTATTTCTCCGACCCTAAGTCATCCAGTCTTCAGGCGCACCATTAAACTCCTGTTCTGCTTACTGTGGATTGGATATTCTCAAGGAACTACACATGTATTAAGATTTGGTAAGAATCCCCATCTCTCTCCAGCGCTGGGTGTCTGGCTCCGAGGCAGCCGATGTAAACACAGGGTTCGCACCGCCCAGCGGGTGGGCTCCATTCATCCCAACCTGTTCCACTGCGCCGTAGCCTCCGGGTTTTAAAGAAACCCCTAGGGCCCTTTATTTCATTTTTTTTCCTGCCACCCCCCCTCCCCTTTTCTTAAAAAAAAATAAATAAATAAAAGCAGCTGGAGGTTGAAGTGAGTGTCTGTGTTTGGTAGTGGTCGCGGTCGCTGCCTGACCTCCCCGCGCGCTGGGGGCGCAGCACCGTGGAGCCCACCAGTCTCCGCGGGAGCCTTCTGGGCTTGGCGGGCTGTGAGGTCCGCACGAACCAGCGCGCCAGGCTACGCACCTCTCAGCTTGCGGGGCTGATGAGTTAATACTTGCTAACTCTTTAACTCTGGCGAGTTGTAGTCCCAGCGCTTCTTCCTGGGACCCGGACAGGTCCCTAAGTGAAAGGCAGACTAGCCCCTTTGCATTCTTTTATCATCAGAGAGATTTTTCGGTTAATTTCACCACTAGCCCAATCCCTGGTGCCTTCAGAGGGGCGCGAAGCTCTTAAAAATATCGTTGTAAGGTTAAAGGCTCTACTTAGCTGGAGTGAAGTTGCGTCGGAAGAATAGGGTTTTGTTTGTTGTTAACTTGTGAGTCCTCCTCTCCTCCGGAAGCAAGCTGTCTCTCTGCTTGTCCTGGGCTAGTGAGTGATGAACAGTGATGATTGGGGCGGAGGGTAGTTGTGTATGGGAGTCTACATCTTTATTTCACTGTGGCATGATAAAAGAGCCCAGGTAGCTGTTACATATTAGGGGAGTCCATTGCTTTCCTGAGGAATTGGGGTTTCCTGAGAGCACAGGGGAAAATCTAAATGTGAGACTTAAGTGGAAACACTGGCCAGAAGGTTTGCTTGGAGGAAATGAAGCCGGGGCAAAGCTCAGGTGCTCTGATGGCCCATGGAGTTTTAGTAGGAGCAGAACTAGTCAGGGAAAGTTCCCTTAAGTAGATGAGAGAGAGAAGAATGCCAGCCCGGTAAATGCTTTCACTGTGGGTGCCTCCTTTGACAGTTCAAGTGGATTTAGACCAAAGAGTGCAGGAAACCATAAAATCCTGAGTATGTGCCTTTGAGATAAAAGCAGATACATTAAGTCACTCAGTCAAATTTAAATCGGAGTGATTGCCTGCATCTCCTGTTATGTCAACAGCTTCTTCTCTTTCCTCTCCCCATGTGCCTTTTCTATAATGATAAAATTTATCATCTCTCTCAGGCTTTGTGGAACCAGGGTAGGAATGCTTTTCTCAAAAAAAAGGGAGCCCTACTTTCCTCTTCTCCCACCCAACACAAAGACCTGGAGTCCAGAAGGCTGGTAATGACAAAAAAAACAAAATAAAACAAAAAAAGACAATGGGTTATAACTGGATTCTTACTGTAGTAGTTTTCCTTCTTTTTTCATGCCTTTAGATGGTACTTAAGCATGTTGCTGTTAGCAACAAGCGTCCGCAGGAATGCTTATTTCTTTGGATGAGATTAAACAGGTCCCTCTATCACTGGAAATGTGTGTGTGTGTGTTCAGCTGTTCTGTTCCGAGCATGTAAGTGCTACAATATGGTAGTTTTGCCAATATTTTGAGTAGTACAACCTACTTATTTGGAATATTGAGATCTCTTCTGAAGTGTGTTTGTGAATGAGTGTGCCTTAGTGTGTGTGCAGACTGGGTGGGGGGAAAAAAGGAACCCTGGCAGCTGGAAAACTGAACCAGTACTCTAAAGATTTAATTATTGCTGTTCTGGTCTTGCAGCACAATATTTGCTGAATCATTAGATTGTTACATTCGCTGATCATTTCATATCTTCATATTAAAATCTTGGCGACTGTAGCAGAGTGTGTAGCAGCTTTCCAAAAGAGCTGACACACACAAAAATACATTTTCCTAGACCAGTGCTTACTAAGAATCTCCTTAAGAAGTGAGGAAGTAGGTAAAGACCTTCCCACCAGTGCCTTGATACCCTAAACCAACAGCCCAGTTTCCAAAGAACCTGGTATTTTCTCCATTAACTTCAAACACCTTCCATGTGGAGGTCCATTTTCTCTGAATTTTGACCTGAGCTGGGGGGCAGGACTGTGAACATTATAATCACTGGGGCATTTATTTCCCTGTTGCGGCTACTTTGATGCAAAGGTGGGAGTTTTGTTTTCGTCTGGGGAAAACATGTTTTGCGTGGAGTGTATGGTTGGCTGAACACATACCTGCCACTTTTGAGAAAGGTTATTTTCAACTTGGGCTGAAAAGGTGAACCAGGGTCTCATCCCTGGCCCTTTGCCTTGGAAGGGAAGAGGTTGGAGTTGCTCCTGGAGCAGCTGCCCCTGGATAGCCACTGGGCGTGGGTGAGACCCACTGACTCTATGAGAAGGTGGCATCCAGCCCCTTCTTTCATCTCCCTCATCCACCCAGGTGTGGCTAGCAGTTGCCAACTGCCTCCACCACAGCAGTGCTATGGCAACCCCCATGCTCACCCACTCTATGTTGTCTGCCCTTTATCCCACTCCCACTCTTAGCTTCCCCTTTTCCCAGCTCAGGGTACCCTTGCAGAGTCTTTCCAGTCTTTTCTCCTTTCTCCCCATCTATTCCCCTCCCCCCCCCAACACACTTTGGCACAATGACTCCCCTCTAGTGCCCCCAAAAACTTGCACCCACTTGTACCTATGCCAGAGTGCTCCCTACTTCCCCATCCCAACCTACATGGCTCCATGTAGGGCTGCACACCGGGCCTACTCCTCAGCTGCTTCTTAGGGCACTCCTGGGCACTCCTGGGAGGCTTTAAGGCAGCCTGGGGGTCAGCCCAGGGTCAGCTTCTCAGGAGGGGATGGCAGGCTTCTCGCCTTGGGTGTGGCAATTTCTGGGCTTCACCAGCTTGGCTTCTCCAGGGCCATCACCCAGAAGGCACCTTGTTAAGAGACAAGGTGGATCTTGGACAGTTAGATAAGTCAATTCCCCCAAGGCTGGTCTGGTCAGGCATTCTCAGCCAGCTTATCAGAGTGTGGAGGCCCTGGGATGCCCCCAGCTCAGCTTCTCCCCACTGCTCTAGCTTTGGGGCCCCAGTGTGCTATGTAAATGAGGCACCTTTGTTTATGGGAAGCTGCTCCCAGCCCTGCAGCTAGCCAGAGTGAGACAGGGTCCTCAATTGGGGGCATGGTCCCCAATTCCACCACCTCCCAGGTGAAAGTGGGTTCTGCAGGACTTCCAGATTTTTTTTGTTTTGTTATTTAGCCCCCTTCTCTTCAGGTCTAAAGTGTGGGGAGGATTTGAAGCCGGCTCTGGATGGGACTCTGTGCAGGGCTACCAGTCCTGCTTAGAGTTTGGGGACTTTGGCATTTGAATGTCAGGAGCAAAGATAGCAACCCAAACTTTCTCACAAACTCATGGGAAGTTTTTTCCAAGATAGTTCTTTCCAAGGAGCTGAGCATGTGGTGGGCCACTTCTTCCCTTTAGCTGTTTCAACCTAGCTTTTCTCTTAAGCATGCCAGTACGAAGCCTTTATTAAAAGGTATCCCAGGTGAGATCCCCCTTCCCCCTGGCCCCGATACAGGTCCAGGGTTTATAGCCTCCTTCCAGTGCATATGCCCAAGACGAAGGCAGCCAGCGCAGGGACAGCCCCATAATAAAACCCAGAGCCTGAGAAGGAACAGAAAGGGTTCCTATGGAAATCCCCCGATTTGCTGGACATCCCATGTGATCCCAGATATAAATAATTAGTAGCAGATGTACTACAACGTGGAGGAGTGTGAATGAATTGACTGAGCTTAGAAGCCGCCACTCTCAACAAGTTCTTTGAAAGAGATTTTTTTTCCTTTGGGAGGTGAAGTGGGCAGGAGGGAGGAGTGGTCTTACATCTGGAATCAGGGAAAGTGGCTCTCGGGAGGCAGGGATACAGCAGTAATAGCGGCCACTGCCTGAAACAGATAAAGCCTGAACACCTGCTCAGCTGAGCTCTGGAAAGCAGGGGAGGGAAGTCTTTCCAAGAATCCCAAACACAACGGCCACAGTAAAAAAAAAAAAAAAAAAAAAAAAAAAAAAAATCTATTTTCACATAAGTTCTCACTTATTCTTAAAGCTTCAAAGAATAACTCTGATGTGATCCATCAAGGGAGGCACACTCATTTCAGAAAACGACATTGAAAAATGATATTTTCGTCCTCCAGAAATAGCTCCCCTTTTCCATCCAGACACGTGGGGCTAAACACATTTCCTGGCTTTGTGTGGTGGTCTTTCAGCAGTGAAAATGGGTTTCCATGTCAGGAGACATTTCTTCAGACAGACACCTTTGCTTTTTAGTTTAATTCAAGTGATCATTGCAGTGTGTTCATTCCCTGAATTCTCACATGCCACTGTTTCCACATTTACTCAGCACAGGAAAGTTAATGTGAATTGCCCCCATACAAAGGAGGAACTTGCCATGGACCGAACGTGGGGAGTAGTATTCACCATTAATTATAGTTTTGTTTATGAGAATGATGACAACCTTTGATTTTCTTTTAATTATCAAAATTTGTGTAATAAAAATGCGCTCTTTTGTGATAGAAATTCGAGTGAGAGGAATTCATTTTCTCCTGTTGTTAGAATTTTACTGAGTTATTGTAGCACCAATTACATTTATTCCCTGGAAATTGTCAGTGTCCATTTTTTACACACCAAGTAGAAAGCAGTTCACTGTCAGTCAATGATTTTATACTTATGCCATTAATCTACTGCATCTATACTGCCTGAATTTGTAGGAGATACTAGGTTTTCCACAGTAGGATGGTATTGAAACAGAATGGTTTGCTTTGCATTTGAGTGGTGAAGCTTTTATCTTCTATGCACTTTCAATTTTACCAGTTATTAAGGTAGTAGAAGTGCTTTAAATGAATCTTAAACCCTAAGTCTTAGCATGAAAGGCAAGGTCAAAAGCTCCTGAACGGGAAGGAAGTAG